AAATTTTGCGAAAAACTATGCTACCTGGACCCCTCCGGATTGATGAATCCACCAAATCAAACACGTTATGTTCGATTTCTCTGCAACCCGGAAGGCTTTCGGGTAGCGGGTTTTAAAACTCGTAGATTCACCAGTGGACGTTGTCCGATCAACTATTTTTACTGTCCTAACTCAAAGATTTCAAAAAATTTTCTGATTTTATAGTGTTTCTTACTATCAAAAAATGGGAAAATTTGGTTTTTTGTACCAAACTAGTTCCAACCACTTCCGAACTAAAGTTAACCGGTTCTACTTATTACAGTAGTGCAGTTACGATGTAACACACTAACTTAGCGCTTTTTTCCGTTTCAAAAAATATCGATATCTCAAAAATCGCGACTTGTGGGGGGATCAAAATATCGCTATTTTGACCCTAAAAACCGGTCTGTTTTCGTTGTTTTTCACTGAAAAACGATATAAGACTATTAATATAGGCTATATAAATAATAATATTAGTAATACTATACCCCTCCGGGTTTGTTTATTATCCGAATTAAGGTGCTTAACTCGGATATTCGCAGTTCGGTGAAGGGTCACTACAGTGCAGCACTGTCGAGCCCCCCACAGATTACTATCTTACTTTTTGTACCAAAAGGGATACAAAACTTGTTAACGATACCCAACAGTCGATTGTTGTTGTCGTTGAGCCCCTTCTTGTTGCTCCTTGTACTGCTTGCCGGATCGGTCTTCACCCAGGACCCTTCCGAATTGAGCGCAAATCAGCTGACCCTTCCGGATTGAGCGCAATTTATCATTAACGTGCTTAAATGCTCAAATAACCCTACAGTACAAGCCTCACAAACGGGCTACAAAACTGATCGTAACGATCCTGATTGATATAAATGCCTGTAACAACAATATATCTATCAACAACAAACGGGGGGGTTGAATCACATCTTGTCTGGGGGGATGATTTCTACTGATTTTTTACTTTTTTTTACTGTTTTTGGTTTTTTCGGTTATTTTTTATGTTTTTTGTTTTTCTTGGGTACTATACTACTTTTTGTTTGGTTTTGCTTATATCTTTAAGTGTTTTTGGTCACAAACCACTCAGGGGATGAGGGGTTCATGATTCCCCCCACCCTTCCTGGTTCGTGAATTTTCGGTCTTAACTAGGTTAAAAAACTATTCACGGTAATCCAGAAGGCTTCCGCGTTCCGAACTACCCTTCCGCCCCGGCTGTTTAGGCCTATGAAGGGCGTTAATGTGAGCATCCGCTCGGCGCGGAGTGCTCGTTAACGGTTCCGCCGGTCATGATGTTATGAAAGAATAACACCCAGGAGCGCCATAAAAACATACATGTAACATTCGCCCGGAAGATACATATCGACGGATAACAAAACTAAGTCTTAAGACGACTGGCTAGCGTCTAAACAGAGCTTTGCATGTTTTTCACCGTCTCTACCAAGCCAGTACTTTTCGGTGGTCTTTCTTACATCAGGTCGACAAAAACGTTACTGTTCTCCGGCTTCGACAAGAACGCTCAAATTAACTGAATTACATGCAAAATTAGTGAGCTCATGGCTGGGTCTCAGTATCCCCAGACCACGAGGTCACTCCTAAAAACAGGGCTACTACTTATTATATTACTATTGTTTTTGTTCAGTAGATAAAAACCATCATCTCCATCGAAGATGGATCAACCCTTTCCCCCACTCCTAGCTTCTCATCCTTATCAAAATGAATCCAGTTGTTAATTAAATTCAATTCAGGACATGACAAGAAGCTAAAAGTTTATATAAAAGGCTAAAAGTTCCAGTCCCGAAACCCTTCCGGATTCTTGAATCCAGTGAATCAAGCTCCTTAAGTTCAATTTCACGCCAATCCGGAAGGCTGGTTCTCACCCTTCACCGTTGTTGGCAACGGCCTTGCAACTATTGTAGCAGCACAATACTTGCAACTTGGAACGTTCTCTGCTATTGTAGTTCGTTGTCGTTTTTCTTTAATCTCGATTTTCGTTCTGTTCGCAATCACAGATAAAGTTGTTCTGTTTTTTCTTAGTTCCTTTTCTAAAATGGCCGCTTCTGACGCTTCTCAGAAATATTACGTCATCACTTCGAAAATTTAAAATTTTAAAATACGGGAATATCCTGACCTTCACCGTTCTGCCAATCATCCGAATAACGTCGTTAATCCTTCGAAATCATCAACTCGGAAGGCCTACTGCTAAAAATTCGAAGTCTGCATAAATTGCATTTTGGCCATTCTGGTCGAATGTCACATAGATGCACCTGTCCACTGTTAGTTGTGGGATTAAGTCGCGATAAAGTGGCAATCAAAAT